TAAAATCAGGTTTAATTTTTTTTTTAGATTAGAAAAGTTTATTTTAGTTGTTCCAAAGAAAGATTTAGAACTATTACCAATCTCTATTTGTTTTAGCTATGTGGTCACATTGATTAAATATACTTTGTGTCTTTTAATATTACTTAAAGTTTGAGTTTGCTATGAGCCAAAATTAAGCTGAACCTGTTATGGGAGCCCACTGAAACAACAAATCACATACAATTTAGAGTCTATTCAGAGTGCTTATTCCAGCTGATTTGGACTATACTCAATAATTTGGGAACTAAGTGTAGCCCCAAGGACTTAGAGCAGTGGCTCTCAACCTCTGGGTCCCAACCCCTTTAGTGTTGAGTGACCTTTTCACAGGGGTCACTTAAGACCTGCAGAAAACACAGATATTTACATAACAATGTGTAGCAGTAGCAAAATTCTAGTTATGAAGTAGCGACAGACACAATTTTATTGTTGGGAATCAGTACGACATGAGCAACTGATTTAAAAGTTCACAGCATCAGGAAGGTTGAGAACCACTGATTTAGAGTAAGAGGCTTTTTAAAAAAGACCTACATCCTGGTAGTTTTCTCTGCAGCTTGAGGGATAGGTTGCAAGCAGTTTAACAGAAGCTAAGAGAAGCTGCTACTGGAAGAGGTAGGGTTCTGCAAAGAAAGAAATATAAAGTGTGCTAAGATGTTAGCTGGGGCAACTTGTCCTCAGGACCAAGAAGAGATTTGATATATTTCCTAGGTATTCTCCGTCAAGAAGATCAAATTCTGGTTTTGTCTGAAGTGGTCTCATCAAGAATACAAGATGGAGGAACCACTGCATTGTCTTGTCCAGTTACATTCCCCTCTGGTTCTTTGAGCATGAGTCAATTTGGTGATTTGTCCTTTTCTAGGGGAGCATAATTGATCCCATGGACCACTAGCTTAATTGAACATGCAGTGGAGGATGCAGGGGTCTCGTCATTTGCCAGCTCAGAATGAAAATCAATGATCTGGCTATTGCTGACAGTAACATGGTCAGTCATGGCGACCATTTAAACAGAGACTGAGACACCAACTATTTGATCTTTATTTTTTTCTTTGAAGATTTTTCTGACCATGACAAGGTTTTCCCTAATTTCCACCAATTAGTTGATATAGAAACAGGAAGTTTCTCCTCAGGCCATGCAGTCTCTTCATTCTTTCACAAAAGGAAGCCTAGCCTCTTTCATTTCTGTAGGACTACCACTCTGAGTGAGTCAAACTGATCCTCTAGGCTTGAAATAGAATTATCCAAGTGGCCAAGGTCCATGTCTATCCAGAAACTGAGTTACCTAAGGTGTTGTTCTCAACAATCAAGGCTGAGTTGGCTATGGGAGTTGTACCAGCTATTTCTACCCTTACTAGGATTGGGAAGAGAATTGAGGTCCATTTGAGTTTTGTTAACAGTGACTCATAGCCAACTTGAGCTCTCCTGTCTTCTTTATTATACGTATATGCCTGAGGGTAAACTGAGACTAGAATACATAGAGAATATAGAGGTATAAATGTCCATTGAGTTGTAGGAGGCATATTTAGTCAGAGCATTAGTACAACTAGTCAGATAACTTGAGGACATGATGTGGGTACCTTGTCCTTGGTAGAACATGCATAAAATTATAATTCCTGAGGGCCTTTTACTAGTCAGTCTTCTCTACAACCTGACTTACAGACCCCTGTGTTTGTCCCCTAGGCTGGCATTATTCCGTCCCTGGAAGGGACTTAAGGAAGCACAGATCCACCTGAAAGATAGAGCTTCCCATCCCTGGTTTTTCTAAATTCTCACATCCAGGTTAGCGGTTGATAGGGATTGTGTATCCTGGGTTAGGAAACTTTGGTCAGTTTTATCTCTAAGGATTCCAGATGACAGTGTATCAGATGCCATTCTCAGTGACCTCTTCTCTATCTTTGGGCTACATTTTTCTATCTTAGTGTAAATAGGGATATACACATGATTTCTAATGGTAACTTAAGAAACAAAGGAACAAGCGCATGCTTTTCTGATGGTAATCTTCTCTTTTACTTCTTCCTTAATAATTTCTCATTCTTGGCAATCTCTCTGCAAAGTTATGCCTACTTACATACAGTTACATTTCTCTTTACACACATACATCTCCCTTCAACACAGCCATACACCTCTGTACATAGTTATATCTATTTTCACAGTTACATTCTCCACATAGTCTCCATATATTCTCCACACAGCTACCTACTTTCACACTTCTTTACACAGCCACATCATTCTCTACACAGTTATATCCTGCATACAACCATATACTTCTTCTGTTACACTTTCTACATACACATCTCTCTTCTACATGGCTACATCTTCAAGCTCTCTACCTGCTCAGCTATATATATATCTTCTCACTTCTCTCTCTCTCTCTGCACATCCAGCTCCCTTTCAGCACACACACACACACACACACACACACACACACACACACACACACTCCTCACATTTCTCTCCTACCTCTGGACAAGCATGGATCACATTTTCAGGGTCACACAGCACTTTTTGAGTAAACATTAAGAACCAGAGTCATACTGATCACACAATTTCTCTCATGCTAGGGAGGTTTGCTGAATAGACATGGTGAATAAGTAAGCACAGAGTTCTGAGATGTCATGGTTCCCTACAGAAAGTGAAACTGAGATTCAGTACTTAAACAAGGAGCAGTTAGCTGGCTAAACCTTGAGGTTGGGAGGATGTGCAGAAAGTCCATTTCTGAGAAAGTTATGTCTACTAAGTTATTCTGTGCCTGACCTTGAATCACCAACCAAAACCTTGGAAAATGTTTTAGTGTATTTGTCTCTACGGGTAATCAGTTTGTTTTTAAATTATTCTGATGTCTAAAATTAGCCATTGTTGTGACTGAAAATACTATTATTTTTGAATGACTGTTTAAATAATAAAAAATCCTAATATTCTTTCTTTTTTTCTGAATTATACATTTAAGTGTAAACCATCTTCCTTAACATCCACATATATATGTGTGCCCAATAGATAGAAGAATAGTAGGTAGAATATTATATATATATATATATATATATATCATTTTATATTTAGATATAGGTTACATATATATTTATAAATGAGATAAACACACAAGTTGTAAGAAATATCCGTAGCTCTTTTTAGTGGCACACAAGAGTGGCCCTATACGATCTCAACATGCACACCAACTAAAAGTCCTCTCCAGCCAGTACACTCTTCTCCATTCCTGGGAAGCCTGAGGTCCCCTAAATGTCCAAGTCCAATCTCTTGGAGTCTTCAGAATATTATGGGGAGCATACCAGGGATAACCATGCAGACACAGTTTACAACCAAGTCAAAGTCTGTATTCCAACTGTCTCAGAATACATTCAGATATTCAACACCCAAGTATAACACTGAATAGTTAGAGCAAGAGACTTTTAGAGGAAAAGCCCACACCTTGGTATCTCTCTGTGAAGCTGCTGGGGGAGGTTTGAAGGAACAAGCATTTTAACAGAATCTAAGATAGGCTGTTAGCTAGAGAAAGTTGCTGTCACAAGATGGCAGTTTAGCAGAAGCTACAGAAAGTTAGCTGGGGTGTCTTGGCCTTGGGTCCTAGAATAGAGTTGGGACATTTTCCCTGGGATTCTCTAACAAGGAGACTGAGTTCTTGTTAAACCTGAAAAGGCCTCAGCAAGAATACAAGATGGAGGAAACTCTGCACTCTCTTTCTCTGTCACAAATCAAGTTAACAATTTTAGTTTACATAAGCATTTGCTTATAAGCCAATGTGGCAATAAATATGTTATGAAAAATAAACCAAAAAAACCACAATTAAACACAGATAGTTTATATACATAATAAACATAAGATTTATTTTAATAAACCAAGATTTTGAACATAACTGTTTGGGTGCTATTTTCTATAGTCACCACTGTGAAAAGGAATTTAATGTAGATATCTTTAGTAAACTTATAAATTCATTAGTTAATACAGTGTAATCTTAATAAAACTCTTACAGTTTGTAGTTTTATATTTTTATTTTGAAGAAATCACATGAATTATATGTCACGTTTTATGTAAGCTGGAACTTGTTTTGGAAGGAAATCCTCATCAAATCCATGTATATAAAATTGAAAGTTTGTGAAACATTGAATATTCTCAATAATTAAATTCTCAGTTTAATAGGTGATAAGATGTTGGAGTACTCAAATTTATAAGATTGTTTGCCTTTATCAGATCTTCACACGTGATCAAAATATTTAAATCTAAATCTGCACATATATTTTAATTGTACATGCCACGATAATAGTTTTAGAATAATCAAAGCTAATTTAAAAAGAGTACTGAAATCATGACAATGTGTTAAAAGCTTTGAAACAAGAATATATGAAAACAACCAAAAATATACAAAATAAATATCATCGCGATATGGCATAAGTATATGAAATTAGGTAGACCCATTTACAAAAAATTTTACAAATTTTATCCTATTTCCTTACGTTGAAGAGACTTAAATACGCAAAAGATCAAAAGGTGAAGTCTGTCCTATACATATGGCAACATCTCTATCTTTATTTCTCAATTTATGTATGAATGGCTGAGGAAGGAAAATCGTTTTCTATTGTGCCCCAGACTGCTTTGTGGCAGGTAACCTGAGGTCACAAACTCATGCTAAGTCATGCCTGGTGATTCATCCACAACAAGCAAATTAAAAGAACCAAATTAAAAGCAGAAAGCAAAGATTCAATTCAGTCATACTGGGAAGTGGAGGAGGAAAAAGATATCCTATTAATCCACCAAGTCTATCTTCATTGTACTGAAGTGAGATCAAAATTTGAATGGGGGGCCACATATATGAACATCCATGCCTTCCAGATCAAGGAGAGTTTATACCCACCACTGACTCATTAGTATCTGTGTTTTAGTCTAATTATGTAAGGTGATTTGAGAAGTAGTTGCTGAAACTGTTTGAAATCTCTTTCACGGAGGGAAACTAATACCTCTGACTGGTTCTCTTCTTTCCCCCAGAATGGAATTTCTGGGGCAGCCCCATTAGCATTATGGCCCATTTTTTGATATTCCTTTTTAGAATCTTTATATCTGCCAGACCTGTTACATGAGGCATTGGGAAATAGATTTTATGAAGATATTCCCAAGAAAAGCAGTGTGCTACTACACAGATCCAGTAGCAGACCATGAATAGTTTTAGGCAATGTCTATTAATATTAGTGACACTCAGACAGTCAATGGGTTTCATGTTAGGAAAAGCAGAAGCAAAGGAAAATAGAATTGAAGTCTAGAAGGATTGGTCGGTCAAATGACAGACATGGAAATTCCCCAACAATGCTTGAAGAAGGGTTTCAACATAAATCCTCAGGAATGCTGTGGTAGGGACACAGACCTAGCTTCACTTGGCTATCTTTCACAGTCTGCAGTATCCCCCTAAGCTTTAAGGCCCTCCACTAAGGCCAAAGAGAGACTTAGGGCTTTAAGGCTGAAAAGAATTTTAGGACTGGTTTGAATTGTAAAGAGACTGTAATATAAGTAAGGGAGTTAAAAGGCCAAAAAGTTGCTCAATGAAAACAATAAGACACATAAGACATAAAGAAACAAGGGCAGAGAAAGAGATGAGCAGGGAACTATTTTAGAATTTATCCTTATGATATCAATTCAATAAATTATTTATTTATTTATTTATTCTAGCATCCCATTTAACATATATATTTTATGAGTGTTTAAGGACTCCCATCTTTTGCCAGAGAAATCCTCTCTGGTAATTCTGGACATGGCAGTTACAAGAGAAGTTACTCTGAAGGCTACAGAAGGAGAAACCTGGCCATCAATCCAGCCACAAAACCCTTGACCTATACTCTATCCTGCCTGCAAGTTGTGCTTGGGCAATGGTGCCCAACTAACATCTAGTTTGGCTTGAAGCACACACTATGAGAGGGAGCCTATATGGCTAAGAACTGGTACCTGGATGGTGCGGAGACCTAGGAGAGAAAGAAACATGACCAGAAACAAAAGAATTAAATGGTTTCTAATAATATTCTGAAATACCCTGACTTCATTTGAGAGCTTTGATCTAATTCCAACAGCCTCACTTCTAAGATGCTCTCTAGTTAGAAGTGAAATTTGCCTTGTTGTCCTTGACTATGCAAGAGTTCTCAAGGTGAGTTAAAGTGAAAGAAATATGTGTGTGGGGAGTGATCATGTTTTTGGTATAATCTAGAAAGCTAGCCTCTGCTACCTGAGACACAACAGTTTTTCATTGTTCTTTAAGGCCTTGTGATGTCCCAGATGGACACACACACACACACACACACACACACACACTGTTCAATTAGGCAGTATTACAGACGTGCGTGCACACACACACACACACTGTTCAATTAGGCAGTATTTTACACACAGAAAGACACACATACATACACACTCTGTTCAATAAGGCAGTATTACACACACACACACACACACACACACACACACACACACACACACACACACATACAGTCTGTTCAATTGAGCCCATCCCTATCAATCCAAGGAGATCCCACCACTGAGAAAAAATTCTACTACACAGAAGGGTAAGTTCAATCTGAGAGTTTTCATGGACTCTCTGAAATAGAGAGATGAAGTTTTTTCTTTGAAGACCTTCCACCTGTGTTAACTTTTAGGTCCAGAATGTGCCCTTTCTGAGCATTTCTGGTTTACTTGGGTCTTGCATGATCCTCACTCAGTTTATTTGCTTATTCTTATCAGAGCTCACCACCCCTTTCATACCTGACCTGAGAAAGCTGCACCTGAGTGTAGCAGCATTTCATTTGTATTTTAATAAATAAAGCGTGCCTCAAGTTCAGAGAGTAAAATGGTCACACTGGCCAGTCTTAGAGACCAGGCCACAGTAATATTTGAATCCCAGTAGCCACGCTAGCTGCCATAGAAACTGGGCAGTGCATGACTTTAATCCCAGTGGTCCACACCTTTCATCCCAGAACAAGAGAGGATTATAAAACGGGAAGACAGTTCTCAGTTACAGCCTCATTCTGAGATTCCTAGAGGCAGGATTGCCATTTAGGACTGAGGTCAAGGTTAAGAGCCAGTGGCTACCTGCTTTGCTTTTGGGTCTTCAAGTTGAACCCCAATTTGGCTCACCGAGCATTTATTAAACATGCTTCATTTGATGCCCAACTTTTGAGGCACAAATTGATGAACAAGCCATTTACCTGAGACTTTTTATCTCCAGCCCAGGACAGAGCTTAGATTGGAACTCCAGCTATAGGAATTCACAAGAAGCACTAGGATTTCCAGGCCCCACCTGCCTTGGCTTAGCTTCCTCTCCTGAGGAGCATATCCTTTATGCCACCCCTCAGGCACCCACAGGGGTTCCTGTGTTCCTACTGCAGTTTCCTGTGAGTCCTACAGTCTCCTGCCTACCCCTAGCCCTGCATGCTTAAGGCTACCTTTCACAGACAGAAGTTTCTCTCTTACCTTAGGGTTACATAGCTGCTCAGTCCCAACAAAACACAGAGGCTTATATCAGTTTTAAACTTTTTGGCCTAATTAGCTAGTCTTACTGTTAACTAGCTCTAATAACTTAAATTAACCCATAATTCTTATCTATGTTCAGCCACGTGGCTTGGCACCTATTCTAATGCAGCATTTCATCTTGCATCCTCTCCACCTGGGTGGTAACTGCAGATGGGGCCTTTTCTCTTCCTTGAATTCACCTAGTCTGCTCACCGCACCTATATTTCCTGCCTGGCTACTGGCCAATCAGTGTTTTATTAAACTAATGCAAGTAACAAATCTTTAGTGGGTAGAAGAACATTATCCCACAAGACCTGGGGCTCTGATATGCCTTGGAATTTGCGTGGGTATAGGTGTACACCTTGTGTGTGTAGGTGCTTAAAGAGGCCAGAGAAAGACATAGATGTCTTAGAGCTGGAGGCACTGCAAGCAATAAAAACTCGTTTAATAATATTGAAAATAAAACTGATATAAGAGTCACAGTGTGCATAAACATAAGAGGAATACAGAAGTATTATCTCCAAATCCCATGCTTAACCTAAGTTCTTTCCCTTACTAGCCATGTAAGTATGGGAACAGGTAGATTTGTAAGTCTTGCTATCCATTGAGAAGTGATTTTAACTAGTTCTTTCTCTTATAATGGGGATACATGTGTATGGTACAGAGAATCTGTGCTTAAATAGCTCTTATACTGACTTATCAGAAAGTGTCATTTATAAATGTGAGCATTTAAATCTAATTCATTATTATCCTTATTTTTCTTAACACTTTGCCTAAAAGACCTACAGAAAGTGCTGTATGCCAGGTCATGTACAGGAAGGAAAAACAAAACCTTTTTCTCTGAAGACAACTAGTAATGAATACCAAAAAATATTTTCTGTTGAACAAGACATCACCCCATTTATTGTTTCTGTAGGAAGTAGAGATCTTCTTCCATTCTCTCCAATAATGAGAGTTTCTTTGAGAAAAACATTTCCAGGACACAGAATGGCAACTCTGCAAAAGAAGATATTCAGTGTGTGTTTGGATAAAGCATGAACCTTAAAACAAGAGATCAGCTTCTCTGCTAATTTATCAGACATATTTTAATATCAGAAACAAATGTCAGTATACATCCATGACATCCATGACAAGGAAACAAGGACTGAAAAAAGTATTCACGGAAAAGCATAACACTTTTGAATATTTTTCTCTCATATTTCACACCATATTATTAAGATAATCCCACAATATCTTATAAACATCATGAAATCCTTAGAACATTTCAAATTTTAAAGTATATTTCAAATCAATCCAAAAAATTGAGCTCCAACTAGGTAAGCAGCAGTGAAGGAACGGGTCACAAAATTTATCTGTGTACATTTAACCCCATGTTAAACCTTTACTAAAAGAGCCCCAAAGGATTATCGAAAGCTTGTTTGTAAAAAAATGAACAGACCTTTTCAATCATAAAGCAGGGGCTACCTTACACCTCACTTGTGAGTAGGACGACTTAATTTGGTCTTAGTATGTCCCTTGGCCTTGCCTTTAGTGCCAGACTTGGC